CTCCTGCCCCTGCCTCCTGAGTGCTGGGATTAAAGGTATGTGCCACCACCAACTGGCTTGAGTTTCTTTTTTAAACTGGGTGTCTGGAAACTTGAGTCCCTGGGAGCCATATGGCGGTAGTTGAGCTGCAGCTGAGTGCGCACTTAGACAGGTGATCTGTGCTGTGCTTCAGTTACACCTTCACTTTGTAAGTATGGCCTTTCCCACTTCATCCTCTTCAGAGCCAGCTAATGGTAACTTCTCTATAAACGGTGAGCTGTTGCTGTGTTTTTCCTGCTTAGCAAAGGCTGACGCATGGACTTTTCAATCTGCTACTCCCTTCACGGCCTGTGCAGCGCCATCATGGGGCTGAATCACTCAGAAACCTTGTTGAAGTTGTTAAAATTACAAATTATTTGGCAATTCCCCTGAAGCCTTCATCTAAGCCCACACTTTATTCATGTAGCCAGAAGACGTCAAAAGGGAAATAGAATTATTGTCTTATGACCTCTGGGGGAAGCCAGGCCCAGAGAGAGCTAAGCTTGGGTTTTGAGATCATCATTTTAGGCCTGCTGTAGTTCCTACTTCACTGCTAACAGGTTCAACGAAGTGAGACAGCATCTCTCCAACAACACAAGGAAAATACCTCTCAGGTGGTCAACTCAGGCATGTCTAGTCAAGGGCCCAAACCTCAGTATAAACATGATGTATGTGAAAATGCATCCCTCCATGTATACACAACACACACACACACACACACACACACACACACACACACACACGAGAGAGAGAGAGAGAGAGAGAGAGAGAGAGAGAGAGAGAGAGAGAGAGAGCGCACAGATGGCTGCATGCTATAGGTGCATCTGCCCTTGCCTCTCATGTAGAACTATGCACAGCTTTGGGAAAAGATTCTTCATAAGAATTTGTATTTGATTCTGGGATTATAGATCTGAGCCTAAGGAACAAAAGACTGGTTCCCCTGATGACACATATTCATGCATAGCCAGCCATCGATATGAAGGGACCGCTCAGCCTTGGGGAACACACGCTAACTATCTATGATGTACTTGTTTCTTTCCCAGTGTCTACATACCTCTTACAACTACCATGAATCTCAGCTCCCATGATGCCTCAGCTGTGTGGACGGGATGATGTCCACTTTTAGCTTAGGAAGAACAAATGGTATATCCCATAGGCTTAGCCACAGGTCCATTGGGAACACATAACCCTCGTTTCCAAATTGGCTTTTCCTTATTTCATTGGTGTATGTTAATTGTATAAAATAAGAGGTTTCATTGTGATATTTTCTAACAAGTTTATAATGTTCATTGATCATATTTACTCCTACTGTCTCCTTCCTCCTTCCCACTATCCCCTCCTCTTTCCAAATTGAGGCTGACTTGTTTGAATGTTATGGTTATTTGGGGTTTGGGCTTTTGGTTTTTAGACAGAGCCTCATGTAACCTACGCTGGCCTCAAATTCACTATATAGCTGATCCTCCTGCTTCAAATTCCTAAATGCCAGGATTATAGACCACAGGCGCCACCGTTTTGCTAGAATCTGAACTGTTTTTTTATTTGTTTTTAATCCAGGTTCCTATTAGTGTCAATCAGTTATACACAGTAATGAATTTCATTATGACATTTTTATACATGTAGATTATATATCAGCCATATTCATCCCATTTCTATTTCTTGCTCCCTTCCCACTCCTGCTAATTCTTTCCAAACTAACCCTCTTTCCCACCTTCTCATTTCCCTTCTGGTGAAAGTGTTTCTTTAGGGCTGTTTACCGGACCATGGGCACCTTGCCATAGGAGATATCACCCATCAGCCACTAATTGCAACTATATCTAAATCCTAAGTTGGGCCATGACAGACTGTTAATGTACCCAGTCTTGTGCAAGTGATCACAATAACTACCCGATGCCCAGACGTCATCATTCCACACAGCTTCTACACTCCTAAAGTGCTCACATTCTGTATGTTTCCTGATCATTGTAGGGGGTGATATAGATTTCCCCACTTTGGGGGCTGAGCATTCAATGGTCACTCGTTCTTAGCTCCTTGACCAGTTATGGGTCTCTGCAATTATAACTTTAAAAATAAGTGCCCCTGACCAAAGCTGACAGCAGCACTGATCTATGGGCACACACATAGTTACTTAGAAGACACTTTGACAGGTATATCATATTCATTTAGCAAAATAACAGCAACACTTTCCTTGCTCATGAAGTTAGGACTGAATTGTTGTATTAAACAACCAGAAAAGAAAAACTGGAGGCAGGTGCGGTGGGACATGCCTGACACAGGTCTTTTTTTGTTTGTTTGTTTGTTTGTTTTGTTTTCAAAACAAAGTTTCTCTGCCTAACTGCTCTGTCGGTGCTAGAACTTGCTTTGTAAACAAGGATGGTCTCAAGCTCACAGAGATTCAACTGCCTCTGCCTCCCAAGTGCTGGGATTACAGTCGTGAGCCACCATTGCCTGCTGACGCAGTTCTTGGGAGGCTGAGGCAGAAGAAGCAGATATTCATGGACAATTTAGGCCACATAGTCAGGCTTTGTCTCAATGAACACACACCACAAAAGAAAGAAAGAGAGGGAGGGAGAGGAGAGGAGAGAGGGGGGAGGAAAGGAAATGTAAAAATTGATTCTTCCTGCTGCATGTGACAAGAGAGAGCCAGGAATCCTGATGTCACCCTGGGACCCCCACAGAGAGCTGCTTGAAAACTGGCTCAGCTACCTCCCTCCCCTCCCCCCATGCTCCCAATTTACTCAGGAGATCTTGTCTCTTTCCCCTTCTGGAGGCACCATGTATGTCTCTCTTAGGGTCCTCCTTGTTTCCTATCTTTTCTGGGGTTGTGGATTGTAGGCTAGTTATCCTTTGCTCTATGTCTAAAATCCACCAACATATGAGTGAGTACATACCATGTTTGTCTCTCTTTGTCTGGGCTTCCTCACTCAGGATGGTTTCTTCTAGTTTCATCCATTTGCCTGCAAATTTTAAGATGTCATTGTTTTTTATCACTGAGAGGAAGGGAGAAGGGGAGGGGGAGGAGAACATGAGGGATCAGGAAGGTCAAGTTGGGGGAAGAACAGAGAAGGAGAGCAAGAAAAGATATACCTTGATAGAGGGTGCCGTTATGGGCTTAACAAGAAACCTGGCACTAGGGAAATTCCCAGGTCCACAAGAATGACCCCAACTAAGAATCTAAGCAATAGTGGAGAGGCTACCTTAAATGCCTTTCCCCTATAATGAGATTGATGAATACCTTACATGCATCCTAGAGCCTTCATCCAGTAGCTGATAGAAGCAGAAGCAGACACCCACAGCTAAGCACTGAGCCAAACTCCTGGAATCCAGTTGTAGAGAGGGAGGAGTGATGAGCAAAGGGGTCAAGACCATCCTGGGGAAGCCCACAGAAACAGCTGACCTGAGCAAGTGGGATCTCACAGACAGCTGGGGAACCTGCATAAGACTGAACCATGCTCCCTGAATGTGGGTGTCAGTTGGGGGGATCTGGGCAGTCTGTGGGACATCTGGCAGTGGAACCAGTATTTATCCCTAGTGCATGAATGGGCTTTGGGAGCCCATTCCCTATGGAGAGATACTCTCTCAGCCTAGATAAATGAGGGAGTGCCTAGGTCCTGCCCCAAATGATGTGACAGATTTTGATGATCCCCTATGGGAGGCCTCACCCTCCCTGAGGAGTGGATGGGGGGGTTGGGAGGACTGGTGGGAGAGGGAACTGGGATTGGTATGTAAAATAAGATTGTTTTTAATTTAAATAAAATTAATGAAAGAAAGAGAGAGAGAGAGAGAGAGAGAGAGAGAGAAAGAAAGAAAGAAAGAAAGAAAGAAAGAAAGAAAGAAAGAGAGAGAGAGAGAAAGAAAGAAAGAAAGAAAAGAAAACTGGGTCAAGGCCAGGCCCCTGAAGCAACACAGGAAGGAGCTGCTACCCTGCACTGCTTGTTATAGGAACCAACAAGCCCTCTGCTTATCTTCACCCAGTCTGAGTTAGGCTTTTGGTTACCAAGACCAGACAGAATGTTGATCAAAAACCTACACCATGTCACTCAGCTCCGCTGGACTCTCTAGTCAGTGTCCTCCCCAGAGTGTTTCCAATTCCCTTCTGAAGCACGGATAATTCTAGCTTCAGCCAATGCAGAGTTTAGTTCAACTGAGAAGATATAAACCATCTTTCCCTTTGCCCTTTGGTTGTTTGAAACAGGCTGTCGTGCATTCCAGGCTGACCTCACATTTACTATGTCGCCAAGGGTGACCCTCGCCTTTTGATCCTCCTGACTGTACTTCCCACATCTGCTGGTGTGCACCCAGGAAGACATAAAATATTTATGTGTTTTAGCATAACAGTATGTCTAGAGGTATATGTTTGAATGCATATTCTTCTTTTTTTTTTCTACTTTGTTAAGAATTAAGTTGGAGCAGGGGGTTGGTGAAAAAGATGCTTAGGAAAAAGAGAGCATATACCCAAGAGTCTGAGTGTGGGCATCTCTAGAGAGACTTGCATTATTTTGTACATCTTTCAAGGAGAAATTCAATATTCTGAATGGAGTGTACAGGTTGTAGAAACAAATTTTCTTTTGTTATACAAAGTGCTTTTTCCAGGCGGATCTCTATGAGTTTGAGGCCAGCCTGGTCTACAGAGTGAGTTCCAGGAAAACCTCGAAAGCAATACAGAGAAACCTTGTCTCAAAAAAAAAAAAAAAAAAAAAAAAAAAAAAAGAAGAAGAAGAAGAAGAAGAGAGAAAGAAAAAAGAAAGTGCTTTTTAAACAGAAGTAAGTGTAGAGATATTTACTATTATGAGAAAAAATGCATTTTTTAATGACCCAAGGAAGGCATTGGAAACACTGAGTTTCACTACTTGTCTTTATTAGGTGTCCTCTATCTGATTGCTAGAAATTATTCACTTCCTCAAAGAGAGAATAAATTGCTTGGGGATGCAGTCCTGCCCTGCACTCTTCCTTTGCTAAAGGCCAACCCTGAAGGCTTCAGAGTCATGAGGCTGTTTCTGCACTTGAGCGTTCTAACTGTCACCTGTGTCTGGGCCGTAGCCATGGAGATCCCCATGAGCACTGTGGTGAAAGAGACCTTGATACAGCTGTCCACTCACCGAGCTCTACTGACAAGCAACGAGGTAAAGTACGGTTTTCATTTCTAGAGTTTGGTTTTGTTTTCAAGATAGGGTCTTGCTATGACGCCCTAACTGGCCTCAAACTTGCTATGTAGACCAAGTTGTCGCAATTCCTAGGAGATCCCCTTGCCTCCATCTCCCAAATACTAGGACTGCAGACATAACCTTACCTGCCTCTATGGGTCTTTAAAATCATAAACAGCTGGATGTGGTGGCGCAGGTCTTTAATGCCAGCACTTGGAGGCAGAGGCAGGTGGATCTCTGTGAGTTCAAGGCCATCTTGGTCTACACAGCAAGTTCCAAGCCAACCAGAGCTACACAGTGAGACTCTGACTCAAAAAACTATTTTTAAGCATTAATGATTTATGACACTTCATTCCTGCACATGAAGATCTGCTATGAAGAATGCAATTATGAATGTGTTAGGGTTAGTGCACAGGTGACCGTAACCAGCACTGGATTAAAACCACCACAAATGCTTTAGAAATGACCCTTTGCTCTTTCGTTTGCAGACGGTGAGGCTTCCTGTTCCCACTCATAAAAATGTAAGTTAATTACGCTTCGATGCCATGATTGCGTGACTAAGCCCACTTCACACACTGTGCTGCGAGTCATCTGCTTCTTGCTTTGTGGTATTGTGTTTGGAGTGGGCATCTCACCAGGTCCCAACCTCCTGGGTTTGAGTGATCCTTTTGTCTCCGTGCAAGCAACTGGGACACAGGCCTGTGCCACCACACCTAGCCAATCATTAGTTCTCCAACTGGGACACAGGCCTGTGCCACCACACCTAGCCAATCATTAGTTCTCCAACTGGGACACAGGCCTGTGCCACCACACCTAGCCAATCATTAGTTCTCCAACTGGGACACAGGCCTGTGCCACCACACCTAGCCAATCATTAGTTCTCCAACTGGGACACAGGCCTGTGCCACCACACCTAGCCAATCATTAGTTCTCCAACTGGGACACAGGCCTGTGCCACCACACCTAGCCAATCATTAGTTCTCCAACTGGGACACAGGCCTGTGCCACCACACCTAGCCAATCATTAGTTCTCCATCAAGACTGTTTGATTTCCTTCTCAGTAAAAACTGAATTCATTTGAAATTTTTCATGTGGGTGGATGTGAAAGTCTGTGCTTTCACATATGAAGAATAAGGGACAGAACGGCAAATGACATGTCCCCAGTACTTGGGAGCTTGAGGCACGGGCAACATAGCGTGAGTCTGGGGCCAGCTTAGGCTACGTATAAATTAAAAGCCTTCCTGGATTACACAACCTGCTTCAACAAACAAGCATGAGAGGGCTGGAGAGATGGCTCCGTTGATAGAGTGTCTGATGTGCACAGAGCTTTGGGTCCATTCCTCTGCACCCCATAAACTAGGCATGGCAGTGCATGTGTATAATCTCAGCAATGGGTAAAGGGAAGCAGGAGGAGCAGAGGTTCAAGGTCATTCTCAGCCACATAGTAAAACAACCACAAATGCTTAGGAATGACTGTGAGCTTGCAGAATCTGTTATGTAATGGGAAAGTGACACTGTAGTCCTCCTTCTAACTGAGCCTCACATCAAAGATGCTTTGTACTATTCTACACTTGGCGAGAGGTCCTGCTAGGCTCCGTTTGATTCTGCCTACTGCTTTCTTCACCTAGTGCGTTTCTTTTCCTTTTCTTGTTTTGCATTTGAGGATCAAGCTCAGGGCTTTGCACATGCAGGATAAGCACTCTAACAGCGAGTTCCCCAGCCCACTCTAATATATTTCTGAAAGTACTAAAAACTTAGGGTTGTATTCCTTTATTTCTATTTTATGTGTATGAGTATTTTCCCTGCATACACACACACACACACACACACACACACACACACACACACATACATATATATATATATATATGTCTGTGTTCCACATATGTGTCTGGTGTCCCTGAAAGCTAAAAAAGGGCATTGGATCATTGGGAACTGGAGCTCCAGATGGTTGCGGGTCATCATGTAGGTGCTGGGAACCAAACCCATGCCCTCAGCAAGAGCATCAAGTGCTCTTAACCATTGAGCCACCTCTCCATGGCAGAGGGCTATATTCTTTTTTTAAAAAGATTTATTTATGTATTTATTTTGTATATAGTGTTATGCCTGCATGTATGCCTGCAGGTCAGAAGAGGGCACCAGATCTCATTACAGATGGTTGTGAGCTACCGTGTGGTTGCTGGGAATTGAACTCAGGACCTCCGGAAGAGCAGTCAGTGCTCTTAGCATCTGAGTCATCTCTCCAGCCCCAGAGGGCTATATTCTTAGGTAATGATTAGTAGACATAAAAAATATAATGAATGCCCTCTATTAGTAACTTCTACATGGTTAAAAGAATATG